GATGCAAGAGAGTTATTAGAGATCAAACGTTCTATACATTTTTTTGGGACACCCGTATGACTCATGAATTGTGTTCAAGCGCATACATCTTCATGACACCTACCTTTTATTATCAAAATTCTTTCCGCCTTGTCTATAGAAGCCTCGGTCATTGCGTCTAAACGAAACATTTGTAGTGTCAAATATTGTGGTACCATATCATAAACTTACGGATTGCCTTCGGCATGATCTCGGTCTTTGTCAACAGCGTCTTTTACATCTCTGAGCTCGCGATTATCTCTTTCACCTCTGTCATCATCTTGGACTTCACGGCGATTGTCTGCAATATTACGTAGTTTTCTTACAGCTTCGCAAATAATTTGGAAGTTCGCAAAAGACGAGTGATTGTAGAAAAAGAGAAAAAGTAAAAAATTGCCATGCACAAGCAAGATGATTGCATTCATGTCAAGATAGTTTTGTTGACATGTAAAACCAAATATGAGCAACCAGTACTACTTGAGGCTAGATGATCCATAGCCCCCGGTTTGTTGACTTGCATTAAAAAAATCATTATTTGAGAATTACCATCTAGAACGTTTGATTCTGATGACTTCCTTGTAAGGAAAGATTTTGCGGATCGCTGGGTGTCATACGGTTGGGCAGGCTTCAACTTAGATTTACAGTAAAAAGCGAATCACCTATTACTCTTAGTTACTGTAGGATTACGGTAGCATCGACTAATTTTAGGTTTCCCACAGACGAGAATTGAAAATTCCAAGAAAAACCGAAGGACGTCAACTACGGAACCTCAACGGGGAAAACTTTGTTATTAGATTCGGCATCTCCGAAAAGCTTAGTTTGACATCCCTTCAGTTTTCTGGAATTTTTAGAAGCAAATCTCGTGTGTCAGAAGCCTAAAATTAGTCGATTTCGTACCGTAATCCTACAATAATTAGGAGGAATCGATGATTCGCTCTATGCTGTAAATCTAAGTTGAAGCTAGCCCTAGAGTATGGCACCCAAAGATCCGCGAAAGCTTTGCATACAAAGAAGATATCAAAGATCAAACATTCGATGCATTTTTTGGACCACTCTTAAATTGAACTTTCGTGCACAGATTGCTTGAAAACAAGATATCCATACCATCAACACTTACCGTCACGGTTATTATAATGACGATTATGATAGAATCCACCACGACCACGTCCTCGGAATCCACCACGGTTATTATATGGCCGATTATTGTAACGATTGTGCTTATGTTGGTATTCTTGTGGATCGTGATGGTAACCAGCAGCTTGATAATCATCCTAAAAATGAAAGTATCTGATTTCGATTAGAGACGCAGCACTGAGCTAATTGTAGAATTTAGATTGGATCAAAATTTTGAGAAAAAACAAAAACCAAATATTTTGATAAGAACTCACATAATCCCAGCCATCCTCGTCATTTCTGTCAACGCGGGGATCTTCGGGGACCTGCAGCAAATGACATAAATCAAGAAAAAATTGACAGAACCTTTTCTGAGTCCGTTCATAGAAAAATTTGCAAAAAAAAGGAATTCGAGAGTAAAACTCACTGGCTCCTCTCGATCATCTTCATACTTATTATACTGCCTCTGTCTGTGATTGTTATAATCTCGACGACCTGTTACAGACAATAATTTCCATTCAACTTACTACTTGTCTGTCGCTCACCTTGTCTTTCCCGAAAACTATCATTTCTTTCCATTTCTCTTTGTTGCCAAGTAAGCTGATCCGGCCCTGAAGAATCGCCACGATTCCAGTCGCGATCGTTTTGGCGATAGTCTCGGTCGCGGTTGTTGTAGCCCTGAGCAAGAAAAATTAAAGGCAGCGTCCAGGCAAATCTGGACCCATGGGGCTTTCACGTGGAAAGTGATCTTGAGGCCCTATATGAGACTCTGCCCAAGCGGCAGCACAGATAGTTCACTCACGGCTAAGATATTAGCCTCCAAACTAGGCCCCGTAATCGTAGTCGCATGGATACATGGCTCGGCGCATCAGTTTCGCGCGAGGACCCACCGGAGATTGATGCGCTGAGCCATGAATCCATGCGATTACGGGGCCTAGTTTGGAGGCTAATATCTTAGCCGTGAGTGCACTATCTGAGCTGCCGCTTG